AATTACTATTGTTTCAATATTCATGGCTTTGTATCTCCGTGAAAAAGAGGAATTTCGAAACAATTTCTAATGCGTTAGGAAGATCGTGATGAGCTGTGTATTGTGTGTAAGTATCAAAGTTACAGCTCTTCTGTGGGCGAAGAAATTCCCTTCTGAATATTAAAACAATAGAGTTTTGTTAATGAGTTGGAGAACACAGTTTTGCTAGGGGTTTTTCAATATTGATATAAAGCTCATTAACGAATTTCTATTGTTTCAATATTCATGGCTTTGTATCTCCGTGAAAAAGCGGAATTCCGAAAGAATTTCTAATGCGTTAGAAAGAGCGTGATTATCTGTGTATTGTGTGCAAGTGTCAAAGTTACAGCTCCTCTGTAGGCGAAGAAATTCTCCTCTGAATATTAAAACAATAGAATTTTGTTAATAAGTTGGAGAACACAGTTTTGCTAGGGGTTTTTCAATATTGCCATAAAGCTCATTAGCGAATTTCTCTACAGCTCTTCTGAGGGCAAAGAAATTGTTCTCTGAATATTAAAACAATAGAATTTTGTTAATAAGTTTGTGAGCTCGGTTTTTCTAGGGGTTCATCCATATCGCCAAAAAGTTCATTAAAGACTATCTATTATTTCAATATTCATGGCTTTGTATCCCCATGGAAAAGAGAAATTCCGGAATAATTTATAGCGCGTTAAAAAGAGCGTTATTAGCTGTGTATTGTGTGAAAGTGTCAAGGTAACAGCTCTTCTTTGGGCAAAGAAATTTTTCCTTGAATATTTAAACAACAGTATTTTGCTAATGAGTTTGAGAACTCGATTTTGTTGGGGTTCCTCCAAGTTACCAAAGAGCTCGGAAACGGATTTCTATTGTTTCCATATTCGTAAGTTTATATCCCCGTAAAAAAGAGGAATTCTGGAATAATTCATGGCGCGTTAAAAAGAGCATGATTAGTTGCGTATCGTGTGCAAGTGTCAAAGTTACATCTCTTCTGTGGGCAAAGAAATTCTCCTTTGAATATTTAAACAATAAAATTTTGTTAATGAGTTTGAAAACCCGGTCTTGCTAGAGGTTCTTGGAAGTTGCCAAAAAGCTCATCAACAAATTTCTTTTGTTCCAATATTCATGACTATCTAGGCCCGTAAAAAAAAAGGAATTCCGGGATTATTTATAGCGCGTTAAAATGAGCGTAATTAGCTGTGTATTGTGTGAAAGTGTCAAAGTTACAGCATTTCTGTGGGCCGGGAAATGAATCTAAATCATAAAAAAATAGAATTTGTTAATGAATTTGAATGAGTCGTGAACGAAATCTATTGTTTCATGATTTAATCCTGATTGTTATCGTAGTCCAAGGGGTTGTTAACCAGATATTTTGTTGAAGTTTTAAGTAAGAGATGTTTTGTGAGCCGAGAAAATTACCATTTAGTAATCTTATACGGACTTTTTAGTAACCCTGAACAATTATCTACCCAGTAGAAAACGAAAGATATATTTGAAACGTGTTTTATTTCACTTGCAAATGTTTGACTAAACAGAAATACCGCAATGGCGAATTCATTATGAAATCACAACTATGTCTGATTAACGAGTTCGCCTTAAAAAGTAGAAGTAGTCTTTCTTAGTATGACTAACTCTTTTCTCTAAATTGTAACATTCCCGCTTTCACTTACTAAACAACTAGAAACGAACAGGAACGTGCAAAAGCATTTGCTACTGAAATGCATCATAAAGCCATGACTTGCTTAAGGATAATAGTAAAAAATGGATATTATGATTATAACATTGCTACAAAAACATCCCCTACAAAAATAAATACTATTTCGTGGACCAATGCTTCTAGAGAAAATTATTGAATATGCTTGTCAAAAAGAATCAATATAAATTTACTTAATCGCAATGTTTGAAATCACTATCTAAGTTTAAAAGTCTTTATTGTTATTCACAAAAAGCTAATTAATCTTGGCGCAGGAGCGCGCCGCTATGGATCACTTTCTGTTGGTACACAGGTCGGGTACACATATCTACTCCTCGTCTGAGTCCGGAGAGTCGTAAGGATCCTCACTGAAGGTCTTTAGGACACAGGATGCTGACACAACATCTTCCTTGTCCTGTGGTCAACAAATACGTTAATGACTGTCATTCAAAAACATTTTGTAACAAACTACTCTGTGTATCTCTTGACAACTCTTCCAGTTCGCTGTGATTTGGTTTAACGGCCAAACTAGAGAAATAGTTCGGGGATTCCTCTTTTTTTATTTAAGCGAAAAATAAATAAATAAAGAAAGAAAGAAAAAATAAATATGTAACATAACAGTGCGAAAAAAGCCATACAAGAGAAGTAAAATTTGTTCCTTTTGTCTTTAAATGCGATTCTCATAAAGATAAATAACTCAATTTGATCCTAGAAAATTCAGAGTATCTGTAAAGACAAGCTCTTGCTAAGGAAACTGAATGCAGATTGTATAATGAATTATATAATTTACTGAAAAAACAAACCTTTAACAGAAGTTTCTGACTAAGATCTTTGAGCTTGGAGCTCGCCACGTCACTTGAACGACGTTTCTGCAAATTATCGCCCTAACAAGAGAATGAACACTGTTGGTTGAAGTGCATAAATCAAATTTCTACAACTTCAGATTATATGCACTCAATTAAATTTGAAGCAAGATGATCAAGGATGTTTTAGGAACTTACCATGAGCCAAGGATGTTTCGCAGCCTCTTCTGCGGTGGGACGTTTTCTGCGAGTAAATGGAAAAAAACAAAATCACTTTGTGTTCCACAAAAGGAGTGAACTACTTTTTCTGTTAAAGCGATGAAAAAAAAAAAAAACACCCACTGAAGACGAACTCAAACCATCGACAATTATCCAACAGATGACGACTATGGACAAGGGAATCAGTGAGCAATTCACCTTAATGTAACACCCAATCCTTCCACAACCGTTAAGAGTGAAAAGGTTCAAAGCCCTTTCTTAATATAACACAGTGAGAGAACTTTAGTTTTACTGACTCTACTTGTCATACTACTGTAACCCTGGACGATTTTAATTAAAATGAAAATACGAAATTTTGATCTCAAATTTAAATTAACGTATTTCAAATGGTCTAGCAGACTTATCAGGCGGTAAAAGGTAAATTAAATTTCCATCCAAAAACGGCTATCGTGACTTACTTGGCATCCTTCGAAAGGAGAGAGGTGATCAGATCTTTTACTTCTGAGGTGCTGCGTTGAAATGCTTTGGAGTCAAAAGACCATTTGCCCCTTTTGATCACTTCACCAAGTTTTTCGTCTTCGTCGTCGTCATCCCTCGTTTCCACGGAGAAAGGCAGCATTCCGCTCATGCTAAAATAATAATAAAAAAACAAACACAAAGAAAAATGAAGTTCACAAGCTAAGCACGTAATCAGCTTTGTTTACTTCCAGGTCTTCATTTCAGCTAAAGGCGAAAATGATTATTTGTGGATTTGTTCTTGGTGTAAAACCCGAGAGTATCGTAATAGAATCCTTAATAAGAACCAGCATTGAGTGGATTGTTTATCTGCTTCTTTTAACCTTTTGACCACAAAGACTGAGCACCAACCAAGTCCTTCATACATTATCCCCCCTAAATAAAAAATTAAGGTCACCTTGTGACCTTAATTAAGGCACTCTTGATTGGTAAACAAACTCTACTCGTTTAGCACCTTAGGAAATACTGAGAGAACTATATGGAGAATATGCCTACTGATATTAGGGTGTGTACCCATAGAGAAACTCTTGATTAATAAACAAATTCTCCTGGTCAGAACCTTATGAAATGTACAGAGATCATTATGGAAAATATTCATACTGATGTTAAGGTTTTAAGGATTAAGGTGAAAGGGGAGTGTTTCAATAAAATAATTATTCAGAGATTGAAAGTATCGAGATGTTGTTCTAAGCTCGTGACGTTTGAATGTAAACTGTTTTCTAACTATTTGAAGTACTGCGATTCCCTTCCTCAACAAAAATTCAAATGAGATACGTATTTATTAAGAATTAATGATATTTCATAGTTCAATTAAAAAGTAATATTGGTCACACTCACAGAGCGTAGATGAGAACACCGATGCTCCACATGTCTGCTGGTCCACTGACTGGGGCGAAGTCCAGCAGTTCTGGAGCTGGAAACAAATCAAAGAAATGCACTGTAACTGGGTTATTAACAATGTCTCTCGGAAACGTTTGTCACGATCAGAGTGAATTTTCATCCCAAGTGTGTTAGAAAAATTACTATTGTAATTTATAAAGCGGTAATAGCAAGTGTAGAGCAGACTATTTCCTCAGATAAAAACTGGTCTCACGATAGCCTTTGATAACAGAAAATTTCTTCTAGGCCTGATTACTTGCTTGCTCTCCAAATCGCTATTCTGTCCATTATTTATTTCTTATCTTATATTATATTATCTTTCTTATTCTATATTTATACACTATAACTCATGCGCTAAATGAACCACGCCCTTGTGTCAATGGTTATTACAAAAGTGGATTCTGATTTGTGCAACTCACCTGTAAATGCAACATAACTAACAATGGCCAACATGTCTCCTTCCTTCCAGTTCTTGATGCGGCGAGCACTTCCAAAATCGATCAGTTTCACACCCAAGTTACTTTTGGCGATGAAAATGTTTGCAGGCTGTAAAAAGAAACCAACAAAGTGATTACACATACAAGCTGGCTGTAAAACCCTATTTCAGTTCCTAAAGGAAAATACAAGACCAGGAGGTAGTTCGACCCGTATTCAAACAAGGAAATGAAAAAAATAAAGCATATAAATACCCACTTACAATCGAGCTTTACTTCACATACCCTTATGTCCAAGTGAACAATCTGCTGGCCATGAAGATAATTCACTACATCAAGCAAAGGTCGAATTACAAAACAAATGTCTTCCTCATTCGGCCTGGGTTTTGATCCTACAAAGCTTAGGATATCTTGTCCCTCCAACCTTTGAAACAAAGGAAAACACAAAAACAGTCAGACCAAAGAAACTCCTGAACTTAAGTATGAGATGATTCAGTGGACGTACTCCCTTAGCCAACTTTTGTCACACTTACATGTCCATAACAAGGACAAGATATCTCCTCATGAGGAATGCATCCCGCAACATAACCACTTTGTCTCCTTTGATGCTTCGATGGATGTCAAATTCCTGAAGAGTATCTTCACGGTCTGTGTCGTCTTCATATTTAATAATTTTCGCTACAAAAGGTTTCTTTGTTTTGGCGTCTAAGCAGCGCTTTATAGCTGAGAAACGACCCCTATGGTGAAATAAGAGAATTTACTTTAGGTTAGTGCAGAATAATTGACTGCTAAAGAATTCCAAGGTAACCGAAATTTTTATCGTGCACATCAAAACAAATGAATTAGTTGTCTGATTAAACATCATAACAAAAAGCAGAATTGCCCTTACTTCGCTATTTCGTGCTTGATTCCCCAAAATTTGTCGACATTTTCCAGTTTAAGAGCAACTCCTCCAGTGGAATAACGCTTAGCGATGGCTTGTGGAGTGTTGGCTGCTCCTCCAAGACCGCCTGTTTTACCTACAGTTGTTATCACAAGAAAGACACTAAGATACACACAACATGTAATTCAACCTGGTTGTCGCTTTCTACAGAGTAAAAGGGCAAGCAAACGATTACATAGAAACAATGAACAACCGAAAGCAAATTAATGCTTTCACTGGTGTTGTTCAACGTTTTTATGTACTCCTAGGTTACAATGAAGCGAAAACCAGGCTTAAGTTAATACCTTGACGGACCTTGATAATTTTTTTTATGGCAGCTTTTACGCCAGATTCGCGCGATCGAGATTGGCGTTAATTGGCTATTACTGCAGTGCTAACGCCAACTTTCTTTACTTAACAGTCCTGCTTATCACGCAGTTTTCACGTGATTCAAGGGCTTTTCTTGAAAAGGATCACTTTCAAGTGAAGCAAAACTCCTCAGTCAACGTGTAATTTTCTCACTAATTTCTTAGCTAATAATGGAAACAAAATCTTTCAGAAGCAAAACCTCTGGTCTGTAACATTTTTAAGATACACTGGACTCTATTAGGCCAACGACCGTTGACCAGGTTAGTTAAGAAAATTACTTCACAAATGGAATACAACTGCATTATACAAAACAACATAATATTATAGATGACCTTAGTCACCTATGTAATAACAGCTGCTAATAGTACGTTTTCAATCGTCTAGCTGAAGAGAGGCGGAAACATTAGTTCTTATCATCACTCTAAGCTTGTGATCGAAATTTCAACGCAGAAAAACATAAGCGACCTCTGTAGAAACAATTCTTCCTCCATGAAATAACAGATTTAATACGTTTGCTTTACAGAACAAAGCGCAGAACATCAGAAAGTAATTACAAACCAAGACATACTTGAATAAGCTTCAGGATTTTGAAGTATTTTAAATAATTTGCATATGGAGCAGATCTGCAACATTTGCTTTCGAAATACTACACAGTTAACACTGAATGAGGGTTATAAATCGTGTTATTAAACTGTAAGAGAAAATGTCACAAAACGTAGCAAGAGATAAACGATCTTAATAGAACAAAAAAAGCGATTCAGTCACAATTCTCACAGAAAAAATATCAATCAAACATGCATCCAAAAGAATTTCTTCAGCATACAAAACGGTACTTCATTCTTTGCTAGTTTTGTCGTTAGTTTTTTGTTAAACAATGTTTATTTTGCCAAGTATTACCTCTTAATATCAATGGTTTGAAGCAATGCTTCAACAATTTGCTGATGACTTTTACAATTTTTTATACAGAGTAAGACCAAAAGGTTTGTAATTAATTGTTCTGATGCAGACATCAACTTTTTTTCTTTTTAAAGGTTTTTCAAAAACCTTTAATGTCATACTGGCGGTTGTACAGGTGTTTTGGGTTAGAAGGCCAAGTTATACAGGAAATATTACTGAAAAGAAACAACATTTCAAAGTTCCAAGTTGAACGAAGAAAAGCATCTACTAAACTCTTAGTGGCTCGGCTACGAACACCACATGAAAATCATGTTCAAAATACCAACACGAGATCTTTTTCAAAATATTACGATTAACAAGAGCAAATTCGGAAAAGAAGTTTCCTCAATACACAAAGAAGACAAAACAGATATCATGAATCACAGACCGAGCAGTGAATAAGTTAGCTTAAAGCGGTTAACGCCTTAGAGAGGAATATATAAATAAGTCACTTACTGGCATCATTAGACATTTTGCCGTCTCGTAAACACGAATAAGACCACAAAAAAACACTAACAACCTCACGAGGTACTGAAGTAGATTAGCTCTACCAAACAAATACCAAGAATGGAGAAAATTTCAGTCGAGTGATTTATTCAAAATCCGACAACAGCACGACGTCTGCATGATTTGCATGTCACGCAATAATCTGCTATCGAAGAAACATGTCTGTGTGCAATATCTTACTTAATTTTCTGTTAGCTGTAAAATATAATCCGTATAATCCTCTGTACTTAAACTTGAACAGCGCTAATGATTGTTTTCATAAGAAAATAAGTCCATACAAAGCACAACTTGGAGTTCTTTAGTCTCCTGTGTATAACACACAGTTAACTTAATTTCAACCATGTGTCCTTCTTGACATAAAACAATTGTTTGTAATTCAGGTGATAAAGCGAGAAAAGAATGTGCTGTGATTAACTGTCGTCGAATAGAATTACTTGAAATAGCTACAACTTGTGTGGTTCAGGCACAGAAAAAGTAGGAATAGAAAATGTAAGTGAATTTAGAAGTACACCCTGCTGGCATACGAATTCTTTAAACGTAAATTTAAGCCTTTTTCAACAGTTTGTTCGAGAACAGAAATATAACCATATACGGCATTCTATCCCATGGTCTCTTTCACCTTTAAATTAATTAACAATTTTACATATGTTGTGGCTTTCCTTTAAGTTATGGCTTCTGAAAGAACCTTCCCTCCACGGCTTGAGATTTTAAACTTTATAGGCTTACTTCACGGCAAGAACTCAGTATTAACAACAAGAAGCCAACCAGGACGGCGGGAAAAAAACCCACAGCAATCACTACTCATGTGAAATAGACTCCAAATATAAGAACAAAACACTTTAGTGCACAGTTCGCTTTTGAAGAGATTAAATAACAATTTTGGCCAGTTTTCGCAGTTGAAAAGCGAAAAACCGAAAAAAAAAACCCTACGCTTAATAATTTGGCAACATTGCAGAAATCCGCTTTTAGTTTCCACTTCTTTTCAGATAGTCATCGAAAACGACCATAACTAGAATTATTTTTAAGTATATCAAATATTTGTTATAATTAATTAAGTATAGCACTCCTGTTTAGTAGTGTACTTACGTGTGACCTACAAAGCAAAATGAAATTGGAACAAAACTTAAGATATTACTCTGCGTAAACAATTTTCACATTAAAGTCTACATCATCGATTGATCTCTTTCTTCTTCATTTAAAACTTTCATTTACGATGCCATTTTCTGACGACAAATTGACGCTAACCATTATCGACTTCTTCTGTTGTGCTATCTTGCTGCTTGAATTCGCCGATTCTTGTTGTAGTTTCTTTTTCTTTAACAGTTGTTTGTCCGTCTTTGGTAACAGTCACTGTCTCCTTCTCTAAAACAGTTGTCTCTCCTTGTGTTTGCGTTCTTTCTGTTACAGTTACCGAAGTGAAGCTGTTACTGGTGCTGAACGCTGCTGAGGCAGGTGATAGGAAAGGAGAGGACGCCGGGGGAACACCTCCTTCCGAACCTTGAATACCGGCAGCATGCATTGCTTTGACTCGGGCTAACAATCCACCACCTCCACCCCCACTACTCTTCTTATCATCGGACCCTCGGCTTCCGAGAATCCGGCTCAAAAAGTTCGTGCTTCGGATCGCAGTGATGGCTCGCCTCCATTTCCTTCGCGCCGTAAACGCTTTGAGACGGTCGGTCTTCAGTTTTTTCCCTTTGCCCTTCTCGATAGTGAACCAGCGATGTTTGAGTAATTGATCGACAGTACTCCTCTTGTTTGCTTTAAGCACAAGTAGACCGCTGATAAAGTCTTTAGCTTCATCTGAGATATCATCAAAGACAGGATCGTCAAAGTCCCACTCCGCCAGTTGGACGTTCGTCAGGGTCTCGGCATCAGTATCCCCCATAAACGGCGATAAACCACTCAGCAGAATATATGCTATGACTCCAACGGACCACAAGTCCGTAGCAGGTGTAATACGCTCGTATGTAATGACTTCTGGGGCAACAAATTCTGGTGTTCCAAACATAACCTTAAGGTTTTCCTTCGGGTTGTACTTCCTCGCCAGGCCGAAGTCGATAAGCTTGATTTGTTTACTGTCCGGTCTAATAAGCATGATGTTTTCGGGTTTGAGATCTAAATGGAGAACTTCTCGCTGATGCAAGTGCTGAACACCTTCCATTATCTGTTTCATGTAATGCGACACTTCTATCTCCGAGATGAACTCATCTTCTACCACCTTCTCAAACAGCTCTCCACCCGTGACAAGATCCATGACGAGTATCATCTCTGTGGGTGTCTGGAAGAAATCTTGAAGCCGAAGGAGCCGCCTGTGCCGAACAGAACTCATGATCTCTGCTTCGTGTATGACGTCTTGTCTGTCCTTGGGCGCAGTACATTTGATGAACTTGGCGGCATAAGCGCGTCCCGTTTTATTGTCAATACACTTGCACACAACACCGAACCGTCCCTTGCCGAGCTCATCTTGAACAGTGTAGTACTTCGTGATCTTTTCCTCTTTTGGGGTCATCGTTCTCTCCTCAGCTTCAGAGCCAGACAGTTCGGAGAGTTCGGACTCGCTCGCGGTTTCATCGTCCGTTGAACCCGTGTCGATAAGCAATCGTGCACTACTCGATACTTTACCGTGAGGATTTTTGGCCACAACCATGTATTCGCCTGCGTCAGCTGCTGTGCCCTTAGTGATGATAAGTTTGCAGTTGTCGTTGTCATCGTACAGGAATGTGAGTTGTTTACTTTCCTTCAGTAGCTTCCCGTCTTTATACCATTCCACTTCCGGTTCAGGGTTACCGCTGACCTTACATTCAAATCTGGCGGCGCTGTTCTCTATGATCTCGCAATTCGTCAGGTGTTGAATGAAGACAGGGGGGCCTAGTGGCATACCATCTACATGGGAAATAAGATGAATGATTAACAATGGATACGTGTGTGTTACACAATGGCACGTATGGCGGCAAGTACTGATTGGGCTTAAAGAAACAAACACGTGATAGTTACACGTGGTCAACGCGAGACTTCAGAGACATAGGGGAGAAAAGTCACGAGAAGCTCAGCAAAAGTGGCTCCAGAAACAGTTTCAATTTGAAGGGAGGAAAAGGCGCGACAAAGCGCGACAAGGAGTGGGTGAAGTAGAGGAGAGAAGGCGATTTTGGAGGGGAAGTAAAATTCACGTTATTTCTCAAAGCAAGACATACAGGAAACAACCCACGACATTCATTCTTGGACGAATTAAAAGAAGAAAAAGGTGTTAATTTCCCTTCACCGAGTTGGTACAAGGTCAAACATACAATTAATAGGAAGAAAGGTAGTGATGAACACAGAGAAACAAGTATACCATAATAAAACAACTCGTAACAGAAAAAGATCATTTAAGAAGGATTTCGATGCTGATGTGTGGGTCACAAAGGATGTGTTTTATGACCTCTGACCAGCTCAAAAAGAGAGAATAACCACAGCTCCAGTCTGGTCCGTACAGTGACTATAGAACATTTTGTCAAAATCAATACTATCAATTTCAGCGCGTTAGAAGAATAAAAAAAAGTTTTTGTATCAGTCAAGGATTAAAAGTCAGATAAATAGGTGCATTTCCCTAAGCGTTTGACCCACGTGTTCGCGTGGGTGTTCAGATCATGTAGGAATTAAGAAAGTCAGGAAGCAAAGTGAAATAGGATTGCATTGCAACCATCGCTACGTGAAAGAAGGAAAAAGAGAGGAAATCGTGGGCACAGTTTCCCACACTTAACGAAAAAGGATCTTTTTTTTTTCCAGTTATCTTTCTCGTTGCAAGCGCAATACAAAAGTTTGCTAGGATACACCACCAAGTTCTCAACACTAAATGAAGATGCCAATTAAGAGGAACATTTAGGAGAATAAATAAACTATCTGAAAGTGAACTGGTCATTATACAGCACTCAAAGATTTTTGACGTGACAAAATGTGACGTGTTTATAGAAAACACCACATGCTACGAAATTAAGCAGCTTGGAATAATTAGCGACTACATCAATGAGATTTCACAAAATATTAAAAAAAGCATCTATACTCTAAAAGAGAAGCAGTGCACTCCTTTTAAAAGTATTCAGGAGTTAACAAACTGAACAAGAACAAGAAAACCTTTTTTGGGAGTAACAGAGAGCAGAACAGAAATCTTGCCAAGGACGTTATTGCGATAACAGCACTCGAGATAACCCCCAGGCATTTATCTACTTCAAACAAAAGACAACGCTGATGAAAGTAGACAGATAAAAGTGAAGAATAAACAAACTGAAAAACAATGGAATGATTTAAGTAAATATTATCAGTGTGTTTCTTTCCCACAACGTGACAGGCCAGGGTTTGACTATTATTCCACACAACACGATAAGTAAAACATTTTCCAAATGGAATCAAATTCAATTAAACATTTTCTTGGTCAAATGAATTATGCAAACTAATCAGAGGGCGCCTTTCATGTAATAATTATGAAACAGGTCTTAAGTAAACGAGAACTTTCTCTCAAGACATCGCAGCCCTATCAACACCCTAAAATGTAGAGCACGTCAACAGGATATGAAAACCGGAAATATTAGAGAGAAGAACAGAAGCACGTAGATTATCTCCAACTAAAAGAAACAGCATTGGAAATCATAAGCCGACATAATAAACTAACTTGACATCTTACTCTCGATTATGAAAGAGAGTTACATCGTGCAACCCAAGGAATGCAACACAGCTGACATGTAATTAGACACTTTTATCTTCAGGAAAACCCTTTTCCGAACTGGACGAAAATATTTGACATTTTAAAAAGCATCATCATTATTCTTACAGAGTAAGATGAAATAGATGACGGGAAAAAAAAATTAACGTTTGTAGGCAATCGTCATTTTTCTGCCACAACCACAAAGCTCCGAAAATTTAGTCTGGGTAACGAGAGGCGTTTGATTACCAAACGTAGTGCCAGACAACTTTAAATGTTACTCATTTAACTTATTAACACGATACGCCGCAGAATGATTTCACGGACGTCGATAGAAGCGTGAAGCTTTTTCTAACAGAGAAAATTCAAAGTACTGAACTAAACACGTTCACATACGAAACACAACTAAGAGAGTATTTCAAAGGCATAATTCATGGAATATACACATTAAATTCAGCGCGGGTGGGAGCCAGATGAGGACGTTATAGCTATGATGAATGTTTGAGCGAAAATTGTCCACATATACTTGTAGTTCCGACAATAACGTTTCTATATGTTAAATGCAAAGTTACACGCTTTACACGAACCTGTTAAGGTGCTTTTGATGTCTTTACGAGTTGAAGAGAATCTCCTGGCCAACAGAATGCTATGATTCATGATTACTTCACATGGAGTGACAATCAGTTACAGCGCGCAATGAATAATTTAGGTACTAACAACCACAGAAATTGATAACAGCATCTGTACCAGTCTCCACGACCGCTTAAAACTCACGCGAGACGTTATGATTGCTTAAATGAAGGAAAATTTTCAGTTTCTTTAGGGGGTGAATACTGACTCTGTGTTAAAAAGATTGATCACGCAAACGTCAAGTAAGGCTTCACTGGCACCAGACACATTATAAAATGTATTAGGTTCTCGAAACTTCGACAAAAATTCGCCCGCCTTCAATTAACATATGAAATTTGACACTTTTTAAGTGTCAAAGTACATCAACAATAAGACCATTATGAAGTAATTTTTCTTTTACTTATTGTCAGAAACAGTCTTCAAAAAAAACACCTTGGCATTTAAGTGTAATTAGACAAAAATGCGGAGGGTCATGAGGTAATGAGAGAAAGTAAACTGTTTCAAAATCTGTTGGCCTTCTTTCGACGAAGAGTCGTATAATTGAAAGCGAACGAGGATAAAAAAAAGTTACACTCGAAAAGTTGTTTCTGGATTAAAAAAGTACCTGGCGAACAGCTCAGTGAGTTATAAGAGCGCTTAGATTCCAAGTATTAGGAAGGAATCACAGAGGCGCCACAAGCACTTTATATCAAGACATTTATTCACAGGTTTTATCCGAGATTAAAAGAAGAAAAAACAGCTTTTTATCAGGATGTGTAAAAATAACCTTCAGAGCTAAATATGGATAATCCAATAAAAAATATACAGTGATTCAAGTGAAGGTTGAAATGCAGGAAAACAGACCGGATATTAAATGTGACCTTTACTAACTGCACTATAAGTCGTCATGAACTGGTGTTGATACTTGGCAGAACTGAGCTAAGTTTGCGTGCCGGAAAACCAAACTGAAAAAATCGATATAGCTGGGAGTGTTAGCTGTTGAAATTTTTCTTGAGATATTCATATATCAACGTCACTGCACCCCAAAAGGAGACATTGTAATCGTTACAAATAAAAAACGGTTAATGCGCTAGAGCGGCCGTGAACTCTTGAGTCAAAAAATAAAAACAAAGCTGCGACATAAAACCTACACGGAATAGAGCCTATGTTACCCCTGAATCGTCTACGACTACAGTCAACTGTAACACTTACAAAGTTCCATCCACAGCGGTTCTCTCAATAAAAATTAACACACTCGACCAGTTCCGGCAGGGTCACCTTTTCTGGAGCGCACAATATCTGGATGAAGTACGTGGTTGTAAGAATAAAAGGAATGATGATTTCTAGAGCAAATGTTTTAAGAACCATATTTCCAAAATAAGCAAAAATGTAGAGAAAATAACAGCACTTTAAGGGGATGAATACGAATCTGTCAGGCGCAAAAGAGTTTTGCGTCTTCTGTCATCGCTTTGTCATCAACTGTAAAGAGCTCAGTGGAAAGAAGTGAAGAAAGCGGATTTAAAAAAATCGCTTTTTCAGAAAAGCGCCTTGAGAAAGCGGATTGAAATAATAGCGGATTCTGAAATTTGACTGACAAGTGAGAAAGAAAATTGAGAGGCCCACTTGGAACAACAGACTGCCGGTGAACATGACAAAAAGCTGGTTCCATTTAAGTGCTCCTGATTGAAGTATAATACCTCGTGGCAAACAGGATCAGATTCAGCCCGAAAAAAAAGGCGGTAAGAAGGAAGGACGAGATAGCCCAGCGGTACTCCCGTTAAGATAATGCAATGTTAAATGGCGATCGACAACACAACACAAACCAGACGAACGTGATTACAACGCGTGGATCAGGAGTGCTATACTTACGGGCTTCTGCCCGAGACATCGGGCTTCTCCTGCCACTCAAGGCGGGACTTCGGCGACCCGAATAACTCAGGCCCCGTCTTTCTGGTATGAGGCTATCACCTGCTGAAAATTTCTTCGGATCCTCCTTAGATACCTCCTCCTTGAATGGCTCCTTCTTCGTCTCCGCTTTGGCTGCTTTCTCCTGAACTTCCTCCTTGGCCTTCTCTTCTTTTACCTTCTTGAGGAAGCCACCAGGTTTAGAGGCGGCAGCTGCGCCACCGGGTTTGCCTCCTCCAGCCATCAGCCCACCAAGGGATCCCATTCGGCTCAGAGCTCGCAAGGCATTCGCTGTTCTCTACAGGGAACAAATACAGAAAACAGATCAGTTTTTGGAAAGTGTTTTGGCCTAGATTGCCTGATCTTCGTGGGTGAGAAAATGAAGTGATATACGAAGTGGAGGAGGGGGGTGGGGTAAGGAAACAAGCAGTCAAAATGAAGGACTGACATAACTAAAGAGGAGCGAGAATGTAGTTTACTATCAGTCCCCAAACACTACAAAAATAATCACCTAACGCATTGAAAAGACAATTTTGAAAATTGACAGACACTTACCGCCCAACGACGGCGCGCAATAAATTTCTTCAAGTTTTCCGTGCTGAGCTTCTGAGCCCTAATTGTTTTGACTTTCTATTAGGGAAAAGAAAAGAAAGTAAAAGATAAGTATATCTTAAAAGAAAAATGCCCGTGAAGTTGCTTTCTAAGTTTTACGCAATATAACAATGACTTAATTCTTTTATATTACTTTTACAGTTTAAATGGAGAGCACGACAGCAACTAAGCTTGTAAAAGTTGTCCCGCCTAAGGTGGGATAATAGCGAATTTTTGTAAGTTTTGAGGGTCTACCAAGGCAGAGAAATCACGGGCGCGTACTAGACGGGTATTTATCCTATCAACGGAAAAATGGAACCGTAATAGCAGAGGAGGAGGGGGGAGCGGAAAGACGGAGGCTTAAGATTCCAATGACATACACATGAGATACGGGAATCTACAAGCAAAAAATCTGCTCTCTTACCTTCAACCAATCATGGTTCATACAATTGAAAACATCATTTCTCTTCCTAAGAATGTAATACCAAATATCCATTAGCTAGGTAACATCATGAAGATAGGGTCTGTAACAACACTTCTAGGCTTATGGAAATATTGTTCTAACGGAATAAGTGTTTAGGTGTGTGAACTCCTTCCCAATCTGCTCGAACGTTGATAAACCTATAGCCAAAATATCACCGTCACGTAAAAAACGATGCAGATATGCAGGCTTCCTGAATATGGAAGTTTTTAAGCGGACCTTTCTTTCATGTTCGAGATTGTGAACTCACGTCTCGTGGTCATGGTATCGATTGTTAAGTTGACTTTGAAATGAAATAAAGAATTATTTAGAATTACTGACTCGGGACTTCTGATGAGCAGTTCCTCAATGAACTTTTTGGACATGTCTGACACGACGTCAAAAGCTTCGTCTTCAAAATCCCACTCAGCGGTGGACACGTTCTGTATGGTCTCGTTGTCATCGTCTCCCATGAAGGGTGACAGACCACTCAGCCTGTAAAATGGATTTTAAAAAAATTAGAAAAGATAACATTGTAATTGAGTGACAATCTGACATCACTACCTAACTTCGTTTTTGTATTTTAGGCAGGTGAAGAAAAGGAAGCAACAATTGAAAGACTCGTAACCATACAAAATCACCCTTGAAAAGTTATGTTTAACAATACAAGGATGAGCTAAGACAGAAAGGGAAAATAGAAAAATCATACTCACAAAACGTATGCTATGACGCCCACACTCCTGCAGAAGAAAACAGAAAAAGAAAAAAAGGGACACCTTAGATCAGTTATGTACCAGCCTTATAATGGTGCACAGCCATGTTTTTATATGAAGCAAACAAGGATTAAGAATCATTCTTACCACATGTCACTGGCTAGGCTGATGGCTTCGTAACTGATCACTTCGGGCGCTAAAAGTACGAGAGAAATATTTTGAGTAAGTAACTACCAGGAATGTAGAAATATCCAGGATGGCACTCATTTCAAGTCTAATCGAGAGGTTACCTCCTATGGCCTCTTATTGACTAAGGTTATTAAGTTAAGCTTATAAATGCCTTGTTTTCTTACCTACAAATTCGGGCGTACCACAGGCCACTTTCACGGTTTTGCCCGGCTCAAGTACACGCGCCATTCCAAAGTCAATCAGCTTAAGATCCTCCTTACCATCAGGACGAATCACACAAAGCACATTCTCAGGCTAAGTAGAAAGGGAAGACTTTAGTATGAACCTCTGAAGGTAAAACTTTAATAAAGCTCACGAGGCTGTTCAAATGAAAGCTTCTGAAATGCACTTTCATGTGTTACTGTTTATTACTTTTATTAATATTAATTTGTGACCACTGAATTCAATTTCTTTAATCCTAATGCAGCTCTTTAAGATGACTTTAGGAAATTCCCCTTACCTTAAGATCCAAGTGGACAATACGTTTCCTGTGCATATGTTCCACGCCTTGCAGTATTTGCTTCATGTACCGCACAACCTCTTTCTCAGTTAAGTTATCATCATTACAGACTTTCTCAAACAGCTCGCCTCCAGAGATTCTATTAAAGGGCACAACAGATATGACAATATTTACTATCTTCTCATTCATTTTCAGTAATGAGCTGAAAGAAACAATACTTATCTTAATGTATTTTGTTCGGGTTCATTACAATATACTGACATTCACTAAAGACATCAACAATTCAAATTCCTATAATACAGAAACTGCGATTTCTCGTAAACCATTAACATCAGATCAACTGAAATATGTAATAAAATTATCTAAGTTTAGGTCTCATTCTCGCATTGTTACCATCTTTCCTTGTTTCCCCCATCCTCTACTTTTTATCCCCCAGTAAGCAGAATAACTGTAATAACTAATTTCACTCACAGTTCCAAGACTATAATCATCTCCTTTGGTCTCTCGTATGCATCATGGAGGTAGATCAGCCGTTTACTGTGCAGTTTATTCATGATAAGCATTTCTGCCAGAACTTCTTCCCTTGACTCCTTGGTGATTTTTAGGAACTTGGCGGCGTATTCCGTCCCGGTGCTTTTTTCTTTAACTTTTTTGACAACTCCAAATTTACCCCTGGGAAGTAAAGATAGTAAATATTTTAAAAGAAGGAAGATCTTGGCGGAGAGGAGGAAAGAGACAGAAGAAGAGGAAAGCTTCAATATAAAACTCTACAACTATCTGTTGAAAAGTCCTGCAATGTTACGATTGGACAACCAAGTCCTTCGGAAAAGCAAATGCCAATCACAACAGACAGTTGCCATCTCACTGCAAGTACGTACGTTTGTTTGTACCTGAAGACACGATTGGCTGACTCCACTGACGTAAAATTTCATGGTTAAATTCAGACACAGGGTAAAATGATAAAAATACAATAAGACCACATAGAGATAAAAGAAATGAACCTTACTTTCCCAGTTCTTTCTGAGAAACGTATGCATCATCAAATTTCTTATCCGTCCGCAGGGAGATTGGATCTCGAAGCGGAAGGTCAAGGTCTTTGCTTTCTACGTCACTGTCTCCATCACCGCCATCGTCTGGATAGAGTAACAGTGTGTTAATAGGTACGAAACATAAGAGTTTTACTATCATTAGTACGGAGCAAATCCGAAACAAAACCAAAACAAAACTGAAACCCTTGTGTGTGACCATTCAAATGAAAGCTACATCTAATTACATGTACCTTCATATAGTAATGTTTATCCTGTTGTAACAGGTGGCACGAACTCAAAAGTCTGTGATGAAACCCTTGTGCATGACCATTGAATGGATAGCGACTGAATGGTCTTTTTTTTCCTTTCCGAGCGTTTAGTTACTTACCTTTCGCTACACCTTCATCACCACCTTCAGCGATGTTGTTTTCATTTACATCTCCTCCCACTGAAAAGAAGAAAAATGAAAAATACAAGATTAGATTAGTTTTTCTTGTACCTCTCGAGTGAAAATGAAAATCGAAAAAAAATGTACTTTTCCGTTCCATGGCATTTATATTTCATAAATAATACACAAGTTACGAACTCTCACATAACATATTTCCGACAGTAAAATATCACTAAGTCATGACACGTGATAAGGAAAGTTTGATCTGAATACGCGTTCCTCATGTTGGTGATTCCATCAGGCTCTAATCATAAAACAGGTTACAGTCTTATTTGTGATTTCAACAAGAAGAACTTGGTTTCGGCTCAAAACACCATTCCCACCTTTCACAGTAAGAGTCACTGAGCACTTGTCCTCCCCAAAGTCGTTTTTCACCAGGCAGATGTATTCTCCTTCGTCGGAAGTTTCAACATTTTCAATCTCTAGCTCGGAGAAGTCCTCTTCAATTTCTATAAGCACTCTTCCTTCATCCTTTAGCTCTTTTTTGCCTTTGTACCAAGTTCCAGTCGGGACGGGATTTCCAGAAATTTCACATTTAAAAGAGACCACATCCCCAACGCTGACCGTTTGAGACTTGGGAGCTTTGTCGATTTTCGCTGGAGCTGGAAAGTAAAACAGGCAAAATTATCATCGGAAGACGGAAACTAAACTTGAACCAAATATCAACTGTGTAATAATTGTATTCGTGTTGCTCAAGTATACTTCAGCTATGGGCTGGAGAGGAAATTTTGACTGATAGACATAATCCAAACTTTTATTGCAAACAATTTAAGTATGAAGGCAAGAATTAGTCGCAGCAGGTCAAATCACACAATAAAGTTTGTCTGGAAGCCATGAAAACAGTTCCCGCGCTTCCTCGCGTTTTCACGTCTCGATATCATTATGTCATCGGTCACAATACTGATACAATTGTGCGAATTCACGAATCGTCGACTTAAAACGCGAAGAAGCATTTAAATTCTTAGAAATCTCGAGTAGAATGAGACATTTATATTGCGAGAAAAGGAAAAAAATCACAATGAAGACTGATTTGTGAGTTGTCTTGATGCAATTATTTCGATTATCACACTAAAAAAACAAAAAAACATGTTAAGTGTTTTATCCAGTTATCGTAACCTCTCATTATATTTACAATGAATCACCCATAAAATTATAAACAAATGGTAACAAATAATATAGGAAAGCACTTTTGTCTCTTAAAAACCAACTTATCAAAATCATCATCACTTCAACTGAAACTTCAATCAGAAACTTCAAAAAGACATCATAGCAAATTAGCTGAGAGGAATTGTACGAGGTCAACCGAGTGGAATGTTCATCTTATCGTATAACGCGAAAAAAATTGCAAGAAAAAATAATATCAAATCGACAAGTCAAAATAAAGTCAATTTGATTTATGAAGAGTTCAGGAACTTGACAATTATAAAATGACAGAAAAGTCTGAGGTTCCCTAATCAATGGCACGGCAAATATACAGTAAGCGAGCTAACAGTTCAACAAATTAAAATAATTTTTCAATGCTACACAAGCCTTGACATTAGTCGACGATGGATGGGTATTATTACTGTTTAGTAGAAGCCAGTGATGTGATCTTCTCCAGTTCAACAGAATGTATGATCTAAAATTAAGGAAGAAGGCGTCTGGATATGTTACTACTCTTATTTTAAACCACCTGATGAAAAATTAATGTTAAGTTAAAACATCGAACAGAATTTAGGCTGTTTAACATTTTCAAGGCTATTTTATCATGACGTATAACATTGGAAAATAGGTAAATGAGTGACGAGCTGAACAGAGACATCTTTGAATAGACCTGAACCACAGTTGAGGAGACTTTGGTGTCACTTGCATTATAGTGAAGTTGAAAATACTTACATTTCTATTCTTACATAGCCGTCAAAAATCAGCACGATATTCAAATAAAATTGTTCATAAGCTAAATCGTAAATGAAACGCCAGAAAGGTTCCTTCAGATCTTCAAGGGCTGATCAGTCATTTCGTAACAGTAGAGCTACCGAAGGTCGCTGAGTGTTTGGTTTGCAACGCCTGATAAAAGCACGTCAACCACACTCTGCTTCTGACGGCCATCTAACGGCGCTATCCCCTCAGCCTCTAAGGCTCCCGTGATGATGTTTTCAAATAAGCCCTCGAAAGTCGAAAATGTAATTTTGCATTTCAACATACACCACACTCGTCGATACTGTCATACGGCTTGTTTCGAGCCTTAAAGAAGTTAAAAGTCATGTCACAAATCTAACACATTTTGAAAGAAAAACTAAGGTCTCATCTGGTGGGTTGTAATGAGCTGAGCCTGTCCCTTGCTACACGCAGTAATGTCGGTTATACTGTGAATGTGAAGAACAGATGATCATCCAAACGATCGTGTTTACAACGCGCCATTTAAAACGTAAAAAGTGACCTTTTCAAGTAATGGATTGATGTCATATTTGTAGCACGATTCTAAAATGACAACCTATGACTTACACTTCTTAGTGGGCATCCTCCAGTTAAAACAGATACAGGATAAATAACAGTATCGAAAAGAAAAAAAATCGCGCTGCTAGAAACAGTGCTATGTACTAAAGAGATTTTGACCGATGATTACGGGGTGTAATTTATTTATTTTGATAGGCTGGTATAATGAATCTAAATTGCCGAAAAAAAGGTAACCAAAGATAAAAGGACCGAACGAATGCCGCCAAATTAGCATGTCACGCAAGAAACATATCAACAACACAGATCTGTTCAGCTAATTTCAACCCACGTCACTCGAATCGCTATTTTATCACGGTAACTAATACATAACGAGTGTAAATGGAGGAAATAAGTGTTTTACTTCCTTCTTTAAACTTAAAAACAGTTATTGGAGGAAATTTGATTCTTTACATTTGCTGGAGATGTTTCAGATTTAATTCCATTGAGGTCACCAAAAGAGGCTGTTTACGAGAAATGTATCTCAAGTAGCAACTCACGCAAGCCGAAAAACATCAGCATACTGCCAGGTCTTAAGTGTCAGCTACTGTTAGGCCAACAAATGAACAGCCTCGCAATTTGGTGGAGGCTATAATGTAAAGTGAATGTAACAAAGGGAGTGACAGTTATCTACAGAAGGATCAACATTCCTTTTAAGGGTGGCGCGACTATCCGGAGACGGCAAATCGTGTGGACAAATTATACCAACAATGTAACGTAATATCAGTTGTATTTTACATCTCGACACCGCAAGTCAAAGCATAAACTGTAGCTAAGTTCTTCAAGTAGTTGCGTGTGAAGAAATCATGGCATAATAAATGTTGATGTTAATGAGCGAGGCACCCTGCCGTTGAGCTTAACTTAACCTTCACATGCTTGAAATTTAAACCACGAACGTCCAAGTACTTGTCACATGGATGAGAAATTAGCCTGCCACTCAGTTCAGAGTCTCGGTGGTGTGGGCATTAAGTGAACACTTAATATAAAAGAACGAGCAGATTGAAAACAAGGCTCACTGTCGTTTAAATGTAAAAACAACAATAAAACGTCAAAACAAAACCAAGGCTGCCTGCGGAGCAAAAGAGACACTGGTCGAGTAAATGGAGCATTTCTATTGACCTCAATTATTGACTAATGATTTAGAAGCATGCACAAATACTAACGTTGATGTACAATTTTGGAACGATTGATCCCATGTTGCATCCAGAAGGAAGTATCGTGAGAAGAGCAATCAAAATGTAAAGACCAAATTTTACTAATAACTGAACCCTAATTACCGAGCTTTGAAGTAAATTTGCTTGTTAAAAATAACCCGTGTACATTCCTGCGACACTATTTGCGCTTTAAATAATTATTGTATAGCGTATCTATGAGTTCATCATAACTTCTATGACAGGAAAAATTTTGACGACACTTATCAGTCAACCATAAAAAAAACCGCAAAGAATACAAAGATCAGTTTGACGGATAAGGGACTTACCATTTACTATGAGCTCGGCACTTGTGGTAGCCATTCCGTTTTCATTCTTGGCTGTACATTTGTATTCTCCTTCGTCTTCGGCACTTGTTTCGGAAATTTTCAGAGTAACAAGGTCTCCGTTACTGAGAAAATCGAATCTTCCCCCTTTCTTGATTTTGTCATCATCTACAAACCATTCTATGTCCGGGAAAGGGTCACCTTCCACTCGACAGCGCAGACTGGCAGGTTGGCCAACACACACTTCGATATCTTCAAGTTCCTCTGTAAACTTTGGCTGAGCTGTGGGTAGAAGTGATATTTACAGTTACAAACGACTTTGTTTTATGTTTGAGTGGTCCAATATCTGTCCAATATCTTACCTTTGCAAATGACTTAATCAGAATTCAAATTAGTTTGCAGATAAAAAAGTTCAAAAGATGGTAAATTAGAATTGCATTCTATCACTTTACTTTATCCTATAAGTAATACAGTATTGGAAAAATCCTGGTTGTCACTGTTGGATGTCCGCGCCATTAATTCAAGAAAGTCAAGGTCTCTCAGAAACTATTTTCTTCAGAACCTACTGCTACCAAAATACTCAACTAGAGACGTTTTCAACGAGAAAAATCACAAAAAATAACTGCATCTCTTTTACCTCGTCGCCTTCTCGGTCGCCCTTCGTTTCGATCGTCCGCCGAATGTTCACGAATTCGCGATGTCCTTTCGTATGATCGAGTTTCAGAAGCTGATGAAGACCCGTAACTCCGCGAAGACGAAAGAGTTGACCGTGAAGACATTTGAAAGCCGACTCAATCCGAAAACAGTTCGCGCCTTTATTAAAATGATGTACTGTGACTCCAACTAACACAATTATTTTGAATCAAATAACACCCTTTCGAGAATAGAGCATAAATATGTAATTTCCACCGATGAGCGATGTGAATTCCACTGCATTAATCACTTGCAGATGGAAAACAGAATTATCATAATTAATATTCCCAGTAATTCTGAACCAACGAGACGCGACCGAAGAATAAGGATGTTAACAAAGCATATTATTGTTTGAAACAATAACTTCAACAACGCTTAAATTGATTGCCGCATTAGCGTTTCAAAGTACCCTGCAATTGAAGTCTTGTGATTTTTCTGTTTTAAAATTTACTGATTTCTTTTATCATAAACCATCCCACGGAGTCGCGGGATCCTTGGAATGTTCCAAGAGCGACAGTCGAGCCAAGTTTTAAAATACTTTAAGAACACCACTATGTATCACTTCAAAATGAGTAGAAATTGTCAAGAATCATCGCAATTTAAGATTAAGCTTTTTGAATTTGTAATTGAATCCTTAAACAAAGAATACCTCGACGAGCGTGACTGGAGAAAGGAGAGACCATAGAGCTGGCTTAAACTTTTTTTTTACGTCTTTTGATTCAGTATTTAGTGTTTGTTTGGAAATAGACAAAGAAACAAGGTGAGGGGATCAAAGCTATTTTTGGCCGGCAGGTCACGTTGTGCAGACTTGCCTGATATATCGAAAAGCGCTTAAACTTAAGATTACTACTACTTAGATATCTTAAGGTTAAGAAAATATCACCTGCACTCATTTGTATTTATTATCTAATCGTGGGCTGGAGATATCAATGAAAAAGCTATTTACCTTCCCCAGTTTCTTTGAGCCGTTGCAGCTCCGGTTCAGACGCTTCTGAACTCAAATCTTGTGCAATATCATCTTCTAAACCAGCTTCCAGCTCAACCTGGACTTGGGCGCCTGTAATCTGGTCGTCAAAACCTCTTTCTAGCAACCAGCTTCCAGGAACCCAGCCCTCTTTGGTTTCTCCATCTTTGACGGTTTGCACGAAGTAGAGATCTCGGCCTGAGCGGAGCACTCGTACTTGTTCACCGCGGCCGATTACGCGCTCGCGTGTATCTCGTTCCAGTGTTTCTTCCGACAAGTGGTAGGTGCCTCCTAGTTGAATGTTCTACAAGTAACAATCACACGTGAACATGAGCTCCTCATTGCATTTTTCAACCTCTTCAGTGATCAGCTGACAAGCACACGCCTCCCCATGGCCCACTGAGGCAGACCACGTTGTAAAACAGAACATTTCCCATAACAGAAATGTGCTGAAAGGGACCACACCCAATCAGTCAAACAGCCCCAGTATGCAACTAAATTATCCCTGAAAATGCAACGAGCGAATGGCAGGTTCCTATGTTACTTAAAAAAAGAGAAGAGGAAAGCAGCAGGATACGAACCAAAAAACTACGTCACGTGATGATATTGTATCATTTCACTTACCAGGCTTTGAGGTTCAGGTGAGTCCGGTGGTGTGATGGCCACATACTGTTTTTCGAGCTCAGCGATCAAACGCGAGTAAGAGGGACTAGTGATAGTTTCTTTGACTGTGGTCACCAGGTTCCCTTCTGTGGCTGAAGTACTTGGCAATTGAACTTCAAGTTCACCAAACACCAGAGATGGTGTAACAGCAGTGTTTAATGATTCTGAGAGAGTTAAACGAAATGTGAGCCGACGAAACGAAAAGAAACGAAAATAAAATAGAGGTTTTAAACTTGAACTCACTTTCACTCAGATGTAACAGCCTTTTGATTTCACGAACCCAGACCTGTTTGGACCACTCGGTCTTCGTCTGAAATAACAGAGGCAAGGGTAAATAAAGAAGCTTTATATTAAAAAAAATTCGCACCACCTAAGACTTGACACAAATGCTCATATTCTCTTGGTATCGTTCTAAAAAAGGCTCTGTATTTAGATGAGGCATTGTGAGTGCAACAAAATCATTGTAAAACTCTATCACTTTCGACTTACAAACGACTCTTCACTTAACACTGACGAAAATTTCCACTAAAGATGTTGAACTCTCAGGCACAGTAACCATCAAGAGCCCTTTTCAGGACCACCCTAACCCAGACGATTACAACACATGACTAATAAACGGTTTTGGCCTTCTCCCTCGAACAATATTTACTAAGCAGCTTTATCATCTTACCTCAAATGTGTGAAGTACAAGAGCAGTGGCCATGGAGGTACCCACCCACACCATGAACTGACGGGCACCTCCTTCAACATGTTCAGTCAGACCAACATTACCACTTGTCAGCTAAAGAATAAGAGTGTGGCTTATTAAGTGACAATTTTAATGAACGACAACAGAACCGTGTTATCAAGTAGTTACTTAAACACATGATGGAATGAGTTTCAGTTCTTAAATTACAACAATAAATCTTATGATCAACCTTATAGCAAGTAAAAATAAAAAACAACGAAGAGGATGAAAGCGGAAAAGTAAAACAAAGTAAGGGTTGTGATTACAGCATGGCTCGGGCCTTGTTTCTAATTGTTTCTATTTGTAACCTGTTGGACAAAATATCGATGGGGACTTGAAAGTTCAAACAGTCGTTATATCAAACCTTCAGCATGTTTTTAAAGATGAATTTTCTTCCTCCTTCTTTTCTTTTCGTGTTGACGATTCCTTTCTCGAACAAGAACAAGTCCCGTTCTTTTCCTTTTCCTCGAGCTTTCTCTTCCCAGAATAAGACCACCTCCTGCAAAATAAGACGCACAACATCTTCAATACTTCATGTAAACAGAGAAGATTTATATGAAGGTCTTTACGAAGCTTACCTGGCGGATTAGTCTCCCTAGATTTTCAAGAGGAACCTCACCCTGCAGATTGACAAATAAACCAATAAGGAAATAACATTGGATAATTTTCTTGTGAATCAAGTAAGGCTGTCCGTCAGACGGTCAGTGAGTAAGTCAATACATCAGTCGGTCTGTCTATCCGTTCGTCGTTCTGTTGGTCAGCTAGTCAGTGACGGAAAAAAAAATTTAACACAATGCAAACGAACGTGGGACATAAGTACCATGGATAAATATTATATTTGCAAAAAAAAAGAAAAAAAAAATACATACACACAGTGAAAGGAGAAAGATGTAGATGTTTGCACAGGTGGTGGTGACTGATCGGGGGAGTTCAAGAATCGCATTTTTTGAGCGTCGAGTTAATTACTCACATTATATCCTTCGATGTGGAATTTTTGTGCTGCTTCATTTCCTCGTCGGGATAGACTGGCTAGGAATTCAAGAGCCGTCTGTTGAGAAGATAAAAAATGGAGTTATGAACTTCAAATCGTTGGAAGACGTAAAAAGTATGGTCTTTACAAGTTCAATGCCCTCCTCCGTACCGATGTTCCTTTCGAGGAAGGGGGGGATTGGGGGATGTGGGGTGAGGGGATGGGTTAAGAACCTGACAGAGGGAATACGACAGTTAATTATTCTTTTAAACTCTTATCGACGTGATCAGGTTTATGCAAGAGTCCCGATGATTAGTGATGACCATTGTATTTCTTTCTAGTCCTATTGAAACCACCGTTGACTGGGTTTATCTTGGCAGAGTCAATTGTGGCTTAATAAAAAGACAAGGGACTTACCTGAAAATCCGAATGCTGCAGATTCGCACGTACAGTGAACTTGAGCAATTCCTTTGGTAAAAATAAAATTAACACCGCTTAGAATGTACATCGATTTTCCCTTCGCCTGGATGCATACCGATACAAAAGACTAGACGTAAAAAATATATAAATATATAACTATAAAAAATAAAAACAAAAATAAAAACAGCACCAGAAGGTAGTATATAAAAATACGAAAAAAGTTTAAGTATTTGAAAAAGGGGCTCTCAGCACAACTTAGCAAAGACTTCTGTACTCCAAATCAATGTTAGGTACTAGGTATTAGCGATCATTCTCTCTAACCTTAAGATGCAGGACGTATTCATCAAGGCGCTGTGCTGGTTTTTTAAGGTACTCTGAGAGAGAGATGGCATCTTTCGTGTCTTCTTGGAACTCCTGTTGATGTTGGAATAATTATTGTTCAAAAGATTCGGCAAAAAGGTGAACTAGCATTAGTTTAAAAACAGTTAATATTCAAATTTTTTTAAAAACATTAAATGTACTTCAAACTAAAAATGCAATTGGCGTGGGTTTTTTTTTCGCATATTATCCATGTAAATTAATCTCTGTACAAGTGAACCACCGGAATGAAATCTTATTAACGAAAGTGATTATTTAAGAGGAATACTCACCGTCCAAAACTCTTGCGTTTTCTCACTCTCCAGCTTTTCGTTTGCCAGCGGCCTTCCCTCGAGGAACTTGATGTACATTTCAAATTTTGGTTTCTAAAAATTACACGAAAATAGCAACAGATATAATCAAGATGTTGCTCGTATTCATATTGAAGGTTATAACGAAGCCAAGTGTACAAAGATAACTTAGTGTCGAGGAGAGAGACTAACTAAAAATATTTCATATGTTTTACGGCAATGCAACTTACGTGTCGTACAATAACCTTTGGAACGTCATCTGGACTCTTTGCACAAGCCTCCAGTTCGTGCAAGAATAGTCTGAAGAAAGAATGGATATATCATCAGAGAGACAATAACAAACAACGAATAGCAAGTGTTTTAGCGGGATGCTTAACTGTGACGTATTTCACCTTCCAAAAGTCAACGGTTCAACTCCACGCAGACTACAAATATGTAATTCTATTGCAGCAGAGCAATGGCATATTAAATGACGTGAGTCGGAGAGAGTTAGAGGAAAGAGTAGCATGAAATTAATACCTTGTGTGAAATCCGTATATTTCCTTGATATTGGAAAACACAACATCCTCATGTTCAACAACTTCTTCAGGAATATCAGCAGCATCAAGTTCAGCTAGGTGACTCTGTACAAACCACACGAAACAGATCATCCTTCACGTGAGCGGTTTCTTGTATATTCAGTGACAACAAATCACGACAAAAAGAGATTTAGCAAATACAGGAGGGGGGAGGGGGCTAAGCGAAGGTAAAATTTATTATCAAATACGGAAGTCTGCAGCTCCGGTAGAACAATTACGCCTATATAAAATGCTTGTGCATCACAGGTGTTTCTCAGCACAGCTTTTGGTTGATGTAATTTATTAAGGTAAGAAAACCCCGACACACCAAACTAACTGATTGTTAAACAGGATTCATATCACCTTTGATATCAAACTCATAGAAAGTCATCTGTTCCTTACCTCAACAACAGTTCGAAGGTCGTTAACATACTGCCTTTCAGATTCTATCAATTCGTTAAGCACGAATCTATGAGAGCAAATCGTAGTGTAAGATATTTAGTCCATCAAAGATAATTGAAAAATTCTCGAAGCTTCATTTGTACTGTAGGGAGGAAATTGACACCAAACATTCTCAACAATTCTTCACTTACTCTCGCTGATTAAGTGCTTCCCTCTCTTTCCCTTTAGCAGTCTTTGGGGCCTTCTTCACATCCTCTTCAGGGGCCCTTATGATAAAGACCCTTGGTAACCACCCGACGGCGCCGGTAGGAATAACGCAGACCATCGAGTTCTCCATGCCTACGTCGTCAAGGATCTCTAACATGTCACCCTCATTTACCGAGACCTCATCGGGGGACTGGGCCGTGTAGTTGGTGATACATACAAACTTTTGTTTCTCTCCCTGAAAAAAGGGCCAAAACTTATGAATTTTAAAATCAGAATAAAGTAAGGAAGAAGAAAGTTAAAAACAATCTCCATGTTGTAAAAGGAGAAATTAAAAAAACTTACTATCACCGGTGCGTCTGTGGTTTCATCCCTGAAAAGTAAAGTATCGATTAGTTGCATTAATTCAAAATTTTTGTGCAACTTAACTGACGGCCGTCACCGCTTTAGTAATCATCCTGAGAAAATCGACTTAGTGATGAGTCGAATGAAAGACATCAAGGCAACTTTTTGAGCCGTATATGCCGTCTTTGTACGCTAAGAAAGCCAGTAATAACCCATCAAGCTGAAAACTAAAATCAAGTTAAACATGTGACCAATCTTAATGTACTCTTACCCGTCTTCGTCTCTTTTCAGGCATGTGTGACGTACAAATCCAATCTCTGACCCACGTGACACTCGTCTGACCAGCCAGAACTCAGGTCGGCTTGTATCTAGTACTTCAACTTTGTCGCCCCTCTTAAGAAATTTGTTTCCAGTCTCTTCCGAATAGAAGTCCTCAATGGCTGTGTACAGCTTGAGCGTCAGAACCTGGGAAGCAAGTGAGGGAATAAAACTATGATATAACCAAGTATTATCTTCACAAAGATTTATGCACTAAAGTTTTCTATAACTCTTCAGTGACTTAAAATAATTTTTTTTTTTAGGGAAGATGAAATCTTCTCTCAAGATGAATTATGGACCAAACACTGATTGACCTAATATTTAGTATGTGTATATAACTTCTCTCAAAATTCCCTAATCTATGAATATCGACTCCTTCTTCCCTTTAACCCCTTAAGGTGACTAGCATCTAATTTCTCCACACAGTCTCGGCCCTGAATCAAACATTAAGGTCATGAGAATAAAGTAACTGATCATCAACTGTTAAACACCTTCTCCTTGCTAGTGCCAAGAAAAGGAATGTAAAAATAACAGAATTGTGAATATGTATACTGATATACATATACCAATGTACATATACTGATAAACATATACTGATATACAAATACGGATATACATATACCGTTGTACATATACTGGTAGACATATACTGATAAACATATACTGGTATACATATGCAATATGCATATTGACGTTGAGTGTAAAGGGTTAATCAAACTCTCACCTCTTCAACTCTTGAGAGGCCTGAGTTCTTACGCGGAGGTTTTCCTCCAGCAAAGGGTGGCAGCTGATCGGCTCCTAAAATGAAGGAAACGAATTAGCTCTTTCTTTAATCTTAAAGGGTATGAATAAAAAAGTGAGCAGAGTTTCCCTTCAAAGAAAGAATTTTCAGATAATCAACAAATTTAGGTGCTGAAATGGGCTGAAATTTATATGGCGCTGCACATCTTAGTATCAGTTGTTTCCTCAAGACTGTAAAATTGTGGTCTGGAAAGTACGGGTAATTTTTAAAAGAAAAATTGCATGTTTTTGTGCGGTGCAAAGATGATTTCCTCGGAAATAAAAAGTTCCAAATACTATTCGCAGCCTAATTCTGAGGTACTCCTACTTCTCATATATCTTAAACAATCCTAGTTACTACACAATCTACCTTACACACCTTCAACAAATAACATTCCAGTAGAAGACACTTCTCCCAGAACGTTTTTGGCGACCACTTTATACGTTCCAGCATCTTCAAACTTGCCTTCTGTTATCAGAATAGAGAACAAGTCTTCCTCCTGCAAAACTTTGATGTGTGGAAACTGTTCATCACTGATCTCTTTTCCGTCTTTATACCAAGAGACTGTTGGAGCAGGTTTTCCGCGCACACGCACATCAAACCTAGCTGCACTGCTATCTTCGATAGAGCGATCGGTCAGCGGCGCTGTGAATGAAGGCGCTTCATCTTGATTATGCCCTGAGGGAAAGCAAATGCAATATTCAGTCACTAAATGGAGGTCTGGTCCAGTTTCTTTCACTAACACGACATTTGTTTGCATTGGATATAATAAAAAATTTCAATAAAAACATCGGACTTGCTATTCCATGTCTGTTCATTCTGAGTTATGTCGACGTGCTACCGAACATCAGAAGCGTCTTTATTTTGTCTTTGAAAAGACAATTTTAATACAATGTCTCTTCAAAGTCATCATAAACTTCAACGAATTATCATTTGAGGAATACTTGAGGCACATAACCCCAAAACAAAATTCTATGATTTGGCACCATGCACATTACCCTTTGACATTTACCTTTAACCAAAAGTTTTGCTTGACAGGCAACAGATCCCCCCATGTTGGAAGCCACACAACGATACTCGCCCTCGTCCTCCACGGTCACTTTGTTGATAAGAAGGGAATAGTTTCCACTCTGCGAATCTTTGATAAACTTCACTCGAGAGTCTTCCTTCACGAGCTCTCCGTTCCTGTACCATGAGACTTTCGGTTCCGGTATGCCCCTTGACTTGACAGTAAAGTATACAGTATCCCCAACAAAGACATCGCTGTTGCTAAGCTCTTGTTGGAATTCTGGCTCGCAGACACTGTCACGTGATCTCCGACGTTCCATACGGGCGTTAAACTTTTCAAGTTGTTCGTCATCTTGGGATGAAGATTCTGACATTGATTCTAATATGAAAGAAGGACAACAACAATCAGAGGCAAAATTAAGGGGCAATTAGCGTGAAAAATGTTACAAGAATAACTCTGCAAGTTGCCATCAAGGAGATTTTCTTTCAGATGGAACAAACTTGCGACCGAAAAAAGGTTACTTTTGCAATGCTTGAGGCAATTCGATGGCATTCACCTTCCACTAGGACTTCAGCCGAACACGAAGCAATGCCCCAGCTATTGAGCAGCACACATTTATAAATTCCTTCGTCATCGACAGTGACTGACTGAATGTCCAAGGTGTGTTGCTCGCCCGCTGATGACTGAGTGAACCGAGGCTGAGAGCGGATGAGGTCATTGTCTTTGAACCACTCGATGTTGTCAATGGGTTCAGGACCGGAAGTCACCTAAAAAAGGAAATGTAACAAATTCCATATTAGGCTCGAATACGTCCTGTTACCATTTCAGCGACTATTCCTTGTCAGCTGTTCAGAATAGATTTAAGTATGTGCCCTATTAATAAAATTCCACGAATAATAAGATATGTGTTATTATACCTCTAAAGTGACATTTTCTCCATCATTAACTTCAATATCCTCCAGTGGAGAGACAATAGTCGGTTTAGCACCACTCTTTGACCTGGATGGCCGCTTTGCCACTGGGGAACCTGGGGCTGTGCCATCGGTACTTTCTTTAAAGTCTACCGATTCTATACACAAAGAAAAGAGCAATAATTTATTAATATTGTTATGTTGAAGAAACATCCCGAGAGTTATATAATCTTCTAACACACGACAACATTCCTTTAAACAATATCACCTACACAACCATCAGTAAGCGTGAAGCATCATGTGGGTACATTGCCGGTTTACAAACATTTTGAAAAACATGTACATTCCAGCAAAGCATTACCAACCTCCCACTGTTAACTTGGCCTCGCAGGACTGGGTTCCAGCCTTATTAGATATAACACACTTGTAAATTCCTTGATCCTGAATCTCAATAGGAGAAATCTTGAGCGAGCAATGTTCTCCATCAGACGACAACTTCAACCGCTTTCCATACTTGATCGGCTCGTTGTCTTTAAACCATCGAATCTGCAGTGGTTGGCTGCCAGCGGCTATTATTTCTAGTTGTGCAGTGGAATTCTTTACCACACACAGGTCGCTACATTCTTGAACAAATTCGGGCGCCATTTGGGAAAGGCGACTGAGATTGAAATAAAAAAAAAGGAACAGTATTAATTAACATCGAACTCAGATCTTTTCCAATGCAAACAGAGATCCCAAGTGTGCTCGACACTGAACGATGAGTTCAAACATTTTCACGGCGAAAATAATTACAGGATTCTTGCTTCGTTAAAATAAATTCAACTGCAGTCATCCTCCTAATCAACTAATATCAGTGATTTTGCTGTTGGCAGTCGGAACGAGTTTGCTCAATTAATTTCATGGAGCGAGTGTACTTCAAAACGAACCATGAAAAAAATTTACCGATAAGGACGTAAATTAGGGGGACATGTTTTCCACAGATATGTGAATTTTAAGATCAATCTAAGAATTATGTGTAAACCACATTTCAAGCAAGAATCACGATGTACTCACCCGCGGTTCATTACTGTTTGGGGAACTTTGACTTTCTCTGTAAAAATAAAAGCACAAAATGATAGTCTTAACGCAAAAACAATTCAATTCAACCATTGTATAGTTCCCCCCTTTTTGTCAACCATTTGTTACACCGAAATCCGGAAATCCTAACAATTCGCCAGTGTAATAGCACAAAGGTGTTGTCGTTGATGACGTTACATATATAGCCACATTATTATGAATTCATACTGCTAACAAAATAGAGTGGATACCTTCAACAAGCACTTCACAATCAGTAGAAACTGATCCATCATCATTGGCGGCAACACAACGGTAGACCGCCTCATCTTTGACTGACACATCGAAGATGTTAACTGCTTGCATCTCTCCAGCGGAGATAATGGCAATATGATGGTCCTCTTTCAGAGCGTGGTCGTCTTTGTACCACGTGACCTCGGCTTTGCACTCGAGTGGTACTCGAACGTCTAGCGTCAGATTGTCTCCTTCTTTAACCTGTTTGTCTTGAAGCTCTGATGAGAAAACCGGTTTTGGAACTAGGGGTAAAGAAACGAAACAAAAATCAGTCGAAATATTCAAACGCATCCACGTTTAACGCCTCGACCAAGAGTCGGTGTTGGAGTAAAGGATAATTGTTTACATCTTGCCTGACCTGATTTAACTGCAGGCTTTGGTTTTGGTGCAGGTGGGGGCGCCACTTTCTTGTCAGTAGGTTTCGGCGCCTCCCTAGAATGGGAATAAGCGACAAGAAATTAGCAAATAGAAGCCAACCGAAAATCAGGAAAAGGAGGGTCTTAAATTAATTTTTTTCTGAATATATAAGGTTCACAAAGCTAGAAGAGTAGGCACAATAAAAAGTAAAATGAAAGCAATGGAGTTATAACAAAAACTCCGTTGGGTATTGAACTAATTGATGGCCATCATTGACAATCCAGCTAATTTTCCATCGTGAGCCGTATGTGGGCGAGCGTCACACCCCATCTTATCTTACTTTATTGGAAGTTCTTCCTTGGACTGTAACTCATCTTCCGAAGTTTCCTCACTCTCATCTCCTGTTGATTCTTCAAGGCCTGTGTGAAAATGAACAAACAAACAATCACATCTGAAATGCCTCGAATTCAGTAGAGCTCTTCAAATTTTAATTCCTTAGAAAAGATGAGAGGGTTTGTTCAGGGTGAAACATTAGGCTTTCGATATCTCCCTCAAATGAAGTTCTGGTGAAAAAAGATCGGCAATGACAATCATTGAGCTCAGAGGTTTTCAACCAGTATTAACCTTTAATCCTGACATGATATATGTTTCTTGAGTCTTTTTAGATAACTGAGCGAAGAAAAGCATCAAAGGCAACTAACCTTCTACTATTAGCTCTGCGCTGCAGGTCACTTCTCCTTTGACATTTGTTGCTTCACACTTGTACACACCCTCATCGTCTACAACAACATCATTAACAAATAGGGAGAACACTCCGTCGTCATCCTCATCAAACCGGATTTTTCGGTTCTCCTCAAGCAGTTTGTCATCCTTTAGCCAGCGTACTTTCGGGACAGGGCTTCCAGTGACCGTGACATCAAATCGCGCCGCGCTTCCTTCTACAACTTCTGCTGTCTGCATCGTCTGATCAAACTTAGGAGGGGTCGCAGGAGTACCACTCTCAAGCTCACGTTCACGCGACACTGGAATGTCTGTGGCCATTACTACAATGTCCTCGTCAACTGGCTTCTTAGGACTGAAAGACAAAACAAGGATCGTATGATTAGAAAAGACGTACAAAAAGAAACATGAAGTAACAAGAATTTTCAAGAGTAAGTTTAGGCGATAAATTGACTTACAGTGACATAACACCCTCCTTGATTTCTGGCTTGGGAGCTGTAAAGAAACAAAGAGACAAAAGCATGAGTCTCAAAAGAGCGAAGACAGGCCAGTGCCAATACATAAGACGAAGAAGCGAATGGATTAAACGAACGATGGGCAAACGAATGGTTGGATTGACAAGTTTACAATGATCAAACAATAAAAAAGGGCGGACGGAGCGACTGCAATAAGGAGACAAAATTACCCACTGGGGGACGAACGAGCGCAACTACGATTATCACTGAAGGGAAAGAAAGATGTATACCGACCATCATATCAAATCGAAATAATTTTACCAAGTTGTAATAAAAGTAGCCCTCCACACCTTCAACAGTAAGCTTAGCAGAACATGAAGCCTCCCCTGCCTTGTTTCTTGCTATGCACGTGTACTCTCCTCCATCATCAGCCTGTGCACGGGGTATACGAAGTGAATGCACCCCATTTTTGCTCTTGTCAATCTTAATTCGACGGCCTTCTCTGATTGGCTTGCCTCCCTTCTGCCATATCACATCTGGGACTGGATTACCCGACACCTTAGCTGTCAGTTTAATGTCCTCTCCCTCAGTGATTTTTGTCTCAGTGAAATTCTGTTCAAATTTTGGACTAACCGTTACTTCTTGACGAGGTTTGGAGAGTGCTAAACAAATTTTAACAACAAAAAAGAATTGTTAGGTCAAACTATTTCCGTTTTTCTTTTCTTCTGAACTGTTTACATCTTTACTCCCTTTAAAAAACCAAGACAGTCAAAGACTTCCTCGAAACAATCAAAGGGTTTACAAATCAAGGTAATGTTGTAAGGTCTTCATATAAATTCTGGGTAATTAAACATAGAAAACGAATGAGACCAACCTGTAATAGTGACTTTAGCGGAGGTGCTGACGCTGCTTACTTTGTTTGTGGCTTCACATTGATATTCACCGGAGTCTTCCAACTGACATTCTTTGATCACAAGCGTAAATCCGCTCACTGATTGGTTGATGTCAAACCGTCCTCCTGCGCTAATTGGTTCGCCATCCTTGTACCACTGGAATCCAGGTTCCGGTGTTCCCATGGCCCGACATGCCAAGCGAACTGAGCTGCCTTCAACCGCTGACTTATCTCGAAGCTTTAGAATAAATTCTGGTTGTCGGAGACGTTCTTTTGGTTTTGGAGGCTCCGGTTTGGATTGTGTCTTTAGAGTTGTTGGCAAGGGTGGTTCTGACTTCTCTACCTGAGCTGAATCAGGCGAGATGAGGGTCTCAATCACTGGTGATGCTTCCGTAGAAACACGTTGTTTTCGTCTACACAAAAAACCACAATTTGTTAATTTCCATCCACTCAAAGGGTCGCTCAACTTTCATTCTTATATAATCAATATCTAAAGGAAAATTTATTTGCCGTTTGTCAAACCAACTGCGGCTTTACACGAAGATTAATCAAACAGTGAAAATTTTGTTTGTAACATACTTCTCTTCCTCTAGTTCTTGTTCACCAGCTGATTCGCTCTCTTCGTCATCTGTTTCTGTGATTAAAAGACAGCAAATGGCTTATTGGAGGCAGAGGGAATAATTTCACAGAGGAAGCGATGCGAACGATCAATTGTTTTTATAAGAGGGAATTATAAGAAGCAGAAACAAATGAATGACAATAAACAAAGAAGCAGACAACACAAATTAATCGCTTACGTAATATATACAAATCTGCTGAGCAGTGAGCCTTGCCGGCGCTGTTCCTTGCCACGCACTTGTACATGCCTTCGTCACTTCCGCACACGTCATCTATGACAAGCACTTGTCTGTCATCATCATCCTCAAACTTGTACCTCCCTCCCTCGAGCAAGGGTTCGTTCTCTCTGTACCATCGGATATCCGGCCGCGGGTCGCCGATCACACGGCACTCCAGTCTCGCCGTTTTACCGGGCACTGCATCAACATCTTTAAGTTTCTGAATAAACCTTGGTGTGTTTCCTTCGAATTCAGGTTCCATGTCAGCTGAAATAGGGCCAAAAAATTCTCAGATCACCACACGAACACACCGCTTAACCGAATTCATTACCAAACGATAAAATTGTCAAAAAAAAAATTATCAGCCCATGACCAAACGAAGAGCATAAGGTGCCACCACCTTGAGTTGACCTTTAGAACCAAATTATCATAAAATTCCCAAATTGGTGCTACTCACGTTCAACATTGAGGTATGCATTGCTCTCAACCTGACCAAACTCGTTCCGTGCCACAAATCGAATGTGTCCTGCATCTGTCCTCTTGGCGTCTGTGATGTTCAAAGCATAAAGATCCTCATCACGTTCACAAGTGAAGCGGGGCCATTTATTGACAAGCTGATCATCTTTGTACCACTCAGCAGTCACGCTACTACTGCTAACCACTCGACAAGCAAACTTTGTCACGCCACCCTCCTTCACGTCACGGTTGCGTAACACAAGCGTTATGTCTGGAGGAAGCTTAGGTGGACCACTTGAGGAGGATGATTCAACTTCATCTTCTGTGTCGTCCGACAGCATATCAAAAGTTGACTCTCTGACAAAAGAAAAAATAAACAATTTATATAAGTCGTAAGATATTCAATCCTGGATTAAACATGTCCTTTCTCGAAACAAAATGGGAAGCTCATGTTAAAAAATATATTACACAAGTATGTCTCCCTCGCGAAGCATAGGATTCATTTGCCAACTGAACAATCTTTTTAATAATATTTGCTGTGTGCTTATTGAGTGATCGTAACTCACCGTGAAAGACGTCTCTCGTGATCAGAGCCACTGGTAGAATCAAAACCATGGCCTGTGCACGAAAGAGAAAGTAACAATTTTAGTGAAACAACAAGCTTATGGTAACATTACAAAAAAACAAACAAACAAACAAAAAAAACACCGTGTTGCTTGATTTCTATCACAAAAAACAAAGTTAATGACAGCGTTTAACAAGAAAATTAGATACTTACTCTCTATGAATAGTTCTGCACTGCACTGAACTTTGCCGGCTGGATTACTCGCCACGCACTTGTAACGCCCTCGGTCAGATGATTCAGCCTCTCTTATGAGCAGTGAACACAAACCGTCGTCTTCAAACAAGAATCTCATTCGACCGCCTTCACGTATCACACGGTTGTCTTTGTACCAGTCCACCTCCGGCTCGGGTGTCCCTGAATAGACGGAAACCATAATATCGACAAGATATCATAACAACCAAAACAAAGGCCAATTAATTCCCCCACTCCCATTTAACTGTGACTGAGTTATTTTTTGTTTTGTGTGGTGTGCGTTCAGTTACATTATCGCCTTTGGTATTATTTCTTATTTAAAATGAAATGATCAAATTGTTGAGATTACAAGCACTACAGTTGCCGCAATATCAGGAAATATTCAAGGAATAAGGCTGACTAAATTCAATAGAGGATTAGAATTAATCTTACCTTTGACACGGACATCAAACTTAGCAGCACTCCCTTCAACGATCTCAACGTCCTGAAGTCGCTGAATGAATTCTGGTTTTACAGCTCCGGCAGGAACTGGTTCTCGTCTAAGAACAAGCTTTTGAGCTGTGAACCAGAATAACACTCATTTAATTCGCTTTAAAGACTCAACCTCTGTTGTCTTAGAGTCTGGCTTCTGTGTAAGGAATTATGAGCAAAAAGTATCCAACTAATGGAAGGCTGTTATAAGAACATTCCTTACCTCAGTGTCACATATCAAAAAATCTCCGCTAAGTTGTGGCAATTTTTCTTTAAAAATATGATACTCTAATTACCAAGTTTTATTATTTGACAGCCCTAATAACTTATCTTGACTTTTCTAGTGTTTTTTTTTTAAAGTAATGTTTGACAAATACTTGAATTTTAAGCCTACCATTGACTTTAACAACAAATGGTTTGACAGCTGTTCCAGCGGAGTTCGTGGCTTCAACTCGGTAATTCCCTGAATCATCTGGGACTGCCTTGGGAATCAACAGAATGCTCTGGTCATCTTCGGTCTCCAGCTCAACTCGCTTGACTCTCCGAGCCAGGCGATTCTCCTTAAACCATTCCACTTGAGGGGTGGGCTTCCCTCTGGCTTGCACCACAAGCTTGACAGGAGCTCCTTCCCAAACCTCAAACAGCTGCTCCTCTGTGCCTTGAATAAATCTGGGTGCCACTTGTCTATCACTGACTTTGAGCTCAGCTGAACTCGCGACTTCACCAGCGCTGTTTGTTACAAGGCACCGATACTGACCACTGTCCTCTGTGTGGCAATCGCTTATAGTGAGTGAAAACCTCTGCCGCTCTGAGTCTTCATCGATGGTGTACTTTCCTTCACTCTTGATGGGCATTTTTCTCAAGAACCATTGCACCTTGGGGTCGGGCTTGGCATTAACTGCAATCTCAAAAACGGCGTCATCTCCTTCTAGTAATTCCAGATCATTCATCACTTTTTTGAACTCTGGTTTACTCGTCGATTCGCTCACAAAAAGACGCGTACTACAAGACGCAGTTCCACTCTTATTCTTAACAACACACTGGTATTCTCCGCTATCTTCAAACCTAGCGTCCGAGATGACCAGTGAGATGAGTTCACCCTCCAACTCTGTTTTCACCCGTCGGTTTTCACTAACAGGTTGACCATTCTTTTTCCATTCAATATTAGGTTTGGCTGTGGCATTTAGGCGACATTTCAGTCTCGCTGTCCCTCCGATGGTAGCTTGAGTCTCTTCCAACGGTTGAGTGAATCTGGGTGCAGGTTTCTTGCCTGTAGAAGACATAAACACTTCGATTAAAAAAACAAAATTAACATAACCAAGAAAAATCCAGAAAAATTCTGCAGAAGACTTTGCCACAAACCTACCACGGATGGATAACAGTAATGAGTTCTACAAAACAACTTACATTGTTGTGTGAATGATATAAATAGCGTCACACTCCATGCAGTACCACGCACATTTACTTACCTTCGATATCAACCTGGAAGGTTTTAGTCGTTGTACCTGCAGCACTCTTCGCAACACATTTATATACTCCAGAGTCCTCGGGAGTAACAGTGAAGATTGTGATACCAAATTTATTTCCTCGCGCTGATATATTTCCGCGACTTGTTCTTTTAAATGGCTTGTCATCTTTAAACCATTCTGCGTCTGGACTTGGATTCCCCCGAATTGTCACGTTTATCTTAAGTTCATCGCCTTCCTTAACTTCTATTGGTGAATCACCGTATTCATCGGAGAACTCTGGCGCAATCTGTCTCTCTTTTACATCAAGCCGTGCAGAACATTGCATTCTTCCAGCTTCGTTAGACGCAACGCATTTATAGCTTCCGAAGTCATCTAATGACACATTCTCAATAAATAAGGAATGTACATTGCTGTCCTCAGAATACACAATTTTAAACCTTCCTCCACTGACGATAGCTTTTCCACCCTTTGACCATTCGGTAACAGGCTTAGGATTGCCAACCACGCAGACATCAAATCGCGCGGTATCACCCTCAATAACTTCAGTGTGCTTCAATTTCTCCTCAAACTCTGGTATTATAATAGCTTCATTTACAAGCAGCTCTGCGGAGCACGACACACTGCCAAGTTCATTGGTTGCTACACATTTATATTCCCCTTCGTCATCAGCAACAGTATCAGAAATTGTCAGTCTGCAAACTTCCGAGTCGAAGTAGGTTTTCACTCGTCTATTAGATGTGACAAGTTCATCGTCTTTGTACCATTCGATACTTGGTTCTGGCTTTCCATGAACCCAGCCCTCTAATTTAGCACTACTGCCTTCAACAACTTCTATTTTCTTTAGAGGCTTGAAAAACTCCGGCGCTGAGCCTTTGGGTTTTTTGGCTAGTTAAGAAAAAGGAAAGAGTTAGGAATATTGAGGTTGAGAGATGTTTCTTTTTCCACAGGTTTGGAGTTGGTGATACAAGAATTGTAGCGTTTACCACCATCGCCTTAAAAAAATATGGGCTCAAAGGATGACTTAACTAGTTTTGAGTCCTTCACAGTAGATAAAGAAATATAAGATGGGCCCTATGTTTGTATAACTCATTTTTATCTGAAATTAGCTAACCTTCTACGGTGATGTTAAACGTCCGCATTGCTGTTCCCATGTTACTCTTTGCCACACATTTATACACTCCAGAATCAGCTGGCTTGGCGTTGTAAATGAGAAGTGTTTGTTTCTCTCCTTTGACCAGGGTGGTCATATTTGATGACTTTCTGACACTAAGTTCATCTTTATACCACTCAACGTCAGGAGCAGGTTTTCCTCGTATTGTAACTTCCATCGAAACTTCTTCCCCTTCTCTGAAGATAACTGGAGCGTCACTGAACACGCCTGCAAATTCTGGAGCCGTAAGCTTTTCATTAACTTCTAATTCCCCACGACATGTGGCTTTTCCTGCCTCGTTAGACGCAACACATTTGTAAGTACCACTGTCATCTAAAGTTGTTTCATCAATTATTAGAGAATATAATTCATCCCCGTCGTCTGCTTTAACAATAAATCGCCCTTCGTTAATGATAGCTTGAGGTCCACGGAACCAAGAAACGTTCGGTGTAGGATTTCCGCTAACCCGTACATCAAGCTGAACTTGTTCGCCTTCATTCACCTGTAAACCTTTTAGCTTTTCCTTAAATTTGGGTGCTACAATTGGTATGGTCACGACAAGTTCTGCTTCTGAAAAAGTCGACCCTAGATCGTTTATAATGACACATTTGTAAGATCCACTATCGTCTTCTTGCGTTTCAGCGAAGGACAATTGACACATATCGCCTATTACATCAGCTTTGATCCTTTGACTAAGTTCGACTTGTTCTCCATTTTTTAACCACTCTGCCGTGGGTTCTGGTGATCCAGTCATGCGACATTTCAGTCTTACAGGATTTCCCTCTACAATCTGCGTTGCTTTTAAAGGCTGTGTAACTTGTGGTG